AACATCTTATGGTTTTATACTTGTACTAAAAAAGTATCACCACTATACGTTTTTGAAGATAAACGATGTTATAAAAGAATCCCTATCTTTTATAAGAATAAAGTACATTTCGTGGATACACTTTCACGAAGAACCTATTTCTGGGATACCGCAGTCCCATGTGGATCAGAAAACAGCCACAATGTAGTACAACTAAACCCTGATGAAAATAAATATTATCTTCTCACACCATATCCCACACTAATGCAATCACTCAAAAAATTTTCACCAGAAAGCATTCGCGCTATTGCTCGAAACCCAAACATAGACTTACAATCAATAGGAATCTATTCAAAATCAGATATTCAACATCACATTAGAACACAACAATTCCAAGAATTATTAACACAAATGGACACTATACAAAGACAATCAATAGACCAAAATTTACGCAAACTTGCAGAAACCGCAGGATTTGCCGATATCTACACGCAAGACTATAGCGGATATTTTAAGGACATTAAAGATTACATATATCTAAACGGTGAAAAATACCGTCCCCAAGATATATCACCAATTAACATTTTTAGCTTTGTTACACTCAAAAATGAGATCCTCGATTTTCTAGGATGGCCCTACTACATCTTAGAAAAATTGACTATTTTATACGCAATGTTTAACTTTATTGGATTTCTTTTCTCACTTTTAAAAGGAATCTACAACACATGTGCTATACACACACAAGTAAACAGACAAGCAAGTGTAGCACGCATACTATTTGCAGGATTTTTTGGAATCTTTTCTACATCTATAAACAAAATTCTTTTAGACGCACAAATAAAAGAATATAACACAAAAATAACAACACGACAAAATACATACGACGAAGAACATAACAATGTAGACATAACGCCAACGGCACCACAATTACCACCCCTACCAAATAACCATCCACTATCCCTAGTCCCACGAAATTTTCGAAATTTAGCCATCACACATAATCCAAATTTTCGACTCACCACATCACAAAGTCCCATTCAACATATAATGACACACCAGTCACAAGATGATAATACTTATGAACAAATTATTGAACAACCCCATACCACCGCTTTTCAGTCTCAAAATAATCATTTTTTTAGCCCACGATGAGCCGCCAACTTGGATCACTACACCGATCAAATTCCCACCCAACCAATCTTACCTCTCCAGTCCCAATAATACCACTTTTTGCTTTTCCGCCACCCGATTTTCCATCTAGTAATGTAACATCAGGCATGAATTCCGACACTAATTCACACATCTCAGTTTTATACTCCATCTCACAGCTAAATAACCCGAATATTGAAACCCCCGATGAATTCGCCGACTCAGAACCATCTCCATCCAATAATTTTCATAACTCTTCTAATTTTTCTCAACCCCCTTTTCAACCCATATTATCCAATAACCCTGACCCAATTACTCCCACACCCTCTTATGCTTCCCAAGTTACCCCAACCTATTCCTCATACCATTCTGACCAATCATCTCATTCTCCAGACACCCCCCGAATCTCCCCAGAGCTAGATAATTTTATTACCCTTCAACAACCCTACCACCTTAATACCCCAACCATAAACCAAATCTCCTCCACAATAAATTCATCCAACCCCCCTACCCCTACACCCTCTTCAACTTATACTGAATCATTAGCACCATCATCCACATCAACTGAATCTTCACTCAACACTAATAGAGCTTACCGCACTTTTAAAAGAAAGTTCCCCAACCATCCTTTCCCAGCAAAACCAGGAACAGCCCGTGAATACATCAACCACCCCAAGCATACTAACACAAAAGAATTTTTAGCCATCACCTTACCCTCATTCCCACAATACACCTTAAACACCCCCCACGACACTAACGAAACACGCAACTTCGTAGATGAATACGTTTTAATGCCTACTCTCTCTTGGACCTCATATTATCATTTCACTAACCCTCTTTGCTTACCTTTATCTAACACTCACATCGATATAGAGCGAAATACGGACATGCTATATCGACTCACTACACCACTAACACCTAGACAATTTACTTACGTTGGATATAAAAAATCACTAAAAACACACACTGCACCTAGAGCTAACGAATATACACTCGAATACTATGATCACAACATCATCAGAGCTAACCAAGATCAATTCTTAGACGACGATCGCTTCGCTAATCCACAAATTACCGAGAAATTTTTCATCAAGACACCATATACATTCACACTAAACATCTTCGACCGAAAGTTTGATCACATTATTTCAGAAGCACTAACAGACACACAAGCATACGAAATTTTTGAAGAACGCTTCCAAATATTTTCACTAACCTTTCATTTCCTTGCCCCACACGAAAGAGATTTACACTGCTCACACGATATTATGTTGCGCACTAAACAAACCCACACATATAGTTATTATCGTTTCATCCAAAATCACTTTGACCTACACACACCCTCTAGACAACCACACCATCGTTTTCAATTCATTAATTCCAAATACACTTCACCATTTTTCCTAAATTTCACATATTGTATTAAAGACACTAACCTCCATGGTATTCTTCGTAATTATGACCCCATAACCCAAATGTACATCTTCTGTCCCATTACCAAGACCTTCAATGCCGAAGAATCCCGACCCTTCCTTATCCCGCACGAGTTTGTACAACCCATAGAAATCCCAATTTTAGAATTCATCCACAACACTAAATTCAATCACAAATTATATAATCTAATCCAAAACACACCTTATGAGTTTGCAGTTGGCACTGAAGAACTAACCACTATCAAGGCACTTCAATTGCTTTGGCCACTGCTTCAGACTAAAAATATCATCCGCATCTTAGCTAAACTACTAACAACTTCAGAACTAATTCACGACATCTTCCCCCACGGTTTTTTCCCCGACGACTAACAGGTAAGTATGAATTAAGTGAATATTACTAACTAATTAAAATATTAAAAAACTCACCATACTTTATTCATGTTTTCTTTAGATTTTTAGCCTTCATCCGACGATCACCTACAAAAACCACAAAAGACAAATAAAAATCGCAAATTTCATCAAACAGATTTCAAAAATTCTATTAATCTCTTACACTTATAAATTTATAAATTTAATACCAATGCAGTAAATTCATTTCTAAAATTTTCCCCCACAAGCAGTAAATCTAATTATGATGAAAATTTGTATCTTAATATTCCCCCATGACTAGCAGTAAATTTCTAAATTCTATGTAGTAAATTAAATAAATGCAAATGCAGTACTAACCTTTTGATATTTTCATTCATTCGCACAGAAATTCTATCCACACTCGCACAGCTCGCCCACGAAGAATTGTTTAAAATAATGAATTTCAGTTTCAAGTTTTCACACTCAACAACTCTAACATATAATAACATGTTTCAAACTTTCCTTTAACCCGGTTGGAAAGGAATCATATACTAAACAAAAATAACCAATGCAGCTTACTAAATACCACAAATCATAGAATAACAGCATGACTTAGAAAAGAAAACCAACGGTACCCAAACCGGATTAACCCAGTTTAAAACTGGATAATTTATTCTTTTGAAGACTATTATAAAGTCTAAGAAAGAAATAATAAAACACAAAAAAGTCGAAAGACAAACCCATACCACAAACAATTTGATTTTTGAAAAAAGGACACAACCAACAAAACATAAGTAAGACCACAACAAACCCAACATAAAACGTTGTCACATAACAGGACCCCTCACAAAAACCGCACGAAATCATACTCCCACTCCTGGCCTAACCCACCAGGAAGGACGTCCTGAGCATGCTCTATAGCCGGCCTAACCCACCGCGCTACATCCACGCTTTGTGACCACACCTTTATTTTTAATAAGAGCTACTCAAGTGTGAGTAACTCTTCAAAATAACCGAACTAAAACAAAAAGCTTTTGTGAAAACAACTAACTAAAATCATTATTAAAAAATATTAAACTAATAAAAGTTTTATAAAATGTAAAATCACATGATGCAATATATAGATCAGAATACAACACCAAGGACGAACATCAAAAGACAAGACGACCCCACTACACTCGAGAGAGAATGACCAACTACAATCGATATGCCGCTCACAATCACAACTCAAAGGATTTAGAGTACGACTTGACCTCGCAGAAAAGGACTTCATTGAACTAGACCAATGACCACCTCGATGTTCAAGTATACGTACAGATCCGAGTAACCAGGCATCCCCTCCACGCACAATCTCCACGCCATTCCCAAACTAGATCATACACAAAAGAAGTTCTCCACGCAGAACAGAAAAACCTGACATAGCAAACCATTCTGAAATCAGATTTGAGTTTGTTGCAAAGACGTAGTCGTTGTCACTAGAAGACACAACGTCTTATGTCTCTAACTCCAGCTTCCTGGAACTTCCCTAACAAAAGAGGAAACGGAAGAAAATTATGATGTTCGCCAAAAACAAACGTCCATCATCCATCCTTCGAATTGCAGAAGAACTATTCTAAAAAACTCTGTAAAACCCGGATGGGTGGAACCTGATCTAAACTACATTTTATGATTGGATAAATTAAATGTTTTACCAATGTAAAGTATTTAATATTAACCAATCATGATCCATCTAACTAACAACCCACTTATTTGTAAGTGCTGAAGTTACTTGTAATTTCAGCACCAGAGAGATTTAAATTTAACTTAGAAATTAGTTGGACTCTCCCGAGCACTTCAGCAGCCGCAATAAACCAGTATACCCTAGATCTATTGAGCCTAGCAGAGACTAGTTAAACAACCTGAGACTAGATAGTATAAGAGTAAGATTAGGATCGGTATTAGACTAAGAAGTTGCACGAATCTATCCGGCCGAAAATAAGATAGCGTGACGAGCAGACGGTGTACCCTATCCGAAATTACTCTATGAGTTACACTTCGGTCCTAACTCAATAAAATTGATTTGTTGATCAAATGACTGCTGTTTGGTTTCAGTGAAATACGACGCAATCCGCTTCCTGGTAGTGGCGTACAAAACTGGCATCATCGTGCTCGCATGGGCTCCCAAACCCTGCCACAAGTTCATGGCCGTCACGGTTGGTCATACATGTTAACATAAATTCTAGTTATCAGACAAAAAACTGACTATTTTCAACTGTAAAACCAATCAAAAAGTTGTTTACCAATGGAAAAGAGCTTGTCGAGCCGTATCAAAACTTATGATAGATCTATCCGAGTTTTGAAAAACTTATCAATCGCGTTATTTTGAGGTTTAGCCGTCTCGATTTAAAGATATTTTAATGAACGTAGCTCAGAATTTTATTGGAATTTTTAATTTAATTTATTTTAATTAATTTCTTATAAAGGTCGTGATGATTTTGTAGGGAAAGTGAAAAGGCCACAAAAAATCTAGCTTCGAAAATGGAATTTAATTATCAAATTTCCCAGCGAATTAAAAATTTTGCCTATTGATCCAGTTTTTTTTTAAATTGGTTGAGTTTTATCAAAAAAAAATTCAATCATAAATTATTCTTTAAAGCCATCTGTTTTTTTTCTGGGAAATTCGAAAACAGAGTTTTTCAAAAAACAAGTCAGTATTTTTCTGTTTTCTTGCGTTTATTGACTCTTTCCAACTTTCTGTTGGCTATGTTTTTAAGTTATAGCCTCGAAAGTTTGAGTCGTTTTGAATGAAAACCGTGATTGTTTCAGGAGTACAAAGAACTTAAAGGGGAGCCTCTGTTTGTGAATGTGGCCATCCGAGAGGCAGAGTCGGGTGGCAAGTTTGTCCTCAAAGTAGTGTACGCTACAAGTCTCGGGTTCCACGTGGTCGACGACTCAGGATCCCAGGATATCTTTATACCGACTGCCTATGGAAGTGATAGCATCAGACCCCATTGCATCATGACTTTCCCCAAGTCCGATGAACCGGCATTCCTCCTCTGCTACAACAGTGAGGGTGCTTACGTCACAGATGAAGGGAAGTTCTTCCGCGATGCTTTCCTGCAGTGGGGAGAGGCGCCTATCACAAGTGTCGGTAAGTGGCATAGCTATTTACACAAGCCAGTAAGCGAGTATACTCATTTTTTCCAACCCAACTCGCAAATAAAAGTACTCATTGGTGACACTTTCGCTGACATAGCATTGGAAATTGAATAGCATCTGTTGTAATTGTTATATAGGTGGCTAGTGTTTGACGCAGATCAGGCGAATTCATACTCTTATTCTCCAGGTCGGGGGCTCGACTCCAGTACAGCTCAAAAGTTTTTCTACTTTGTAATTTCATTTTTGAACCTGTCTAGAGCTAGTTTTCGCCGTTTTATCGCTTTTTTGGAGTTACATAGTTAAAGTAGAAAAAGTGACTTTCGCAAAGCATGTGAATGTTTTTTTTGTTTAGCTGCTGTCGGCTCTTCGCACATTATGGGCTGGGCCCCAAGTGCGATAGAGTTCCGCTCCTTAACCACAGGACAATTGGACGGCGTGTTTATGCAGCGAAACACGTTCAAGATGCGGTTCCTCTGTGAGTGCAACGACAAAGTGTTCTTCTCCTCCCACTCCAAGAGCGGAGTCAGTCAGATATATCTGCTAACGTTGAATCACCAGTCAATGATAGGGTCTAAGTGAAGTCAAGGATTAGATATTGAGTTGTGAAAATAAACAAATGATATTTCTAACGTCATACAGGACACTTGAAAATGAAGAAAACAAAATTGCAGAAAAGAACGTAAGAAAAAATAACGAACATCCAGAAGTCAATCTTGGCATCAACCCCGAATTACTAGATGTCTTCAAGAGGCGTTTTCGATACCAATCATACCTTCTATCGCCGTCCTTCGGAAACGTTGTTTCGATAAGCACTAGTTTATCTCAAAACTTTTCTACCAATTGAAGTGAAATGCAACAAAAAAACTGTGGGAATCTGAAACTGCCTGAATTTGATTTCTGTACATTGATATGCAGCGTCATTTTGATTAGATTTTAGTTTGAGCTTTTCTATCTGTAGTTTCCACAAATTTTTCTTTCTTTGAGAGCAAAATATTTACCGTAATGTACATTCAATGTCTGGCGAAAGAGGGCTCATTTCATTTCACCTTATAAAGTCATGTTTTTATCAGTTGCATTCAATTCAAAATTATCTAACTTAAAAAAACTAATATCAATATTTCACAGGACATAGTAGGTAGCATGCAGTTTTATCGCTTTTTCATGCTGTTAACAGATAATGATACCGAATCAGTCGCTAGCTATTAATAACTAATTAATTACATAATTAACCCCTAATTTGAAGAGTGTAATTATTACAATTTGAAAGTTTTAGAACACAATACCTTCGCTTCTATCGGAATTTGACTTACTTTTATCAGTTGTGCTACTGGCCAGTACATAGTTTTATTGTCCTCTGGTGCTATTTGTCTCTTTTTTTTTCTGCCCCCCCTTCCACAATTTTTGTGTCTCCTCGCGCAAGATAAAAGTGTCCCAGATTTTTTTTTCACAAATTCCATCGTTGCAAGTAGATCGCCAAAGTTTAAGTGATAATTTCCAACAAAGTTCAAATCGATCAATTCAAACTCACATAACACCTGTAAAATATTTCGATGTTTTTGCATGTTTTATTCGCCAATGTTCTAATTCCGCATTGTTACAGAAAGTAGTCTGATCATGTTTTTGATGTTATTGAATGTTTCCGTCCCTGTTGCAAGAATTTGTTGCGTACTATCTCTGTACAGTGTGCTTTCCGTGCGATAGTGCTAATTTTTCCTCATGTGCGAAGCGTGCGAAATGCGACTATGAATCGCCTACAAATCCAGTGCCTGCAATGTGCTTGCTCAATTATAAACCCTCTAGCGTTTTTCAAGACAAAATTTGATTCGTAATAGATAAAATACCACCGACAGGCTAGTTCAAATTTATATTTTCCCTGTGACCGGAATTCAGTATTCAGTTCTCTTGTTCATCTGACTTATAAGTTTTACCCAAATACTGAAAATATATTTTTTAAATAATTCCAAGCAGTTTTGATAGCTTTCTGCATTCAAAATTTTTCTTCCGATTTTAGGAAAGCAACTAAAAGATCGTTTTTTTTCTGGCAAAATTAGACTAGACTTGATGTCAGTGATTGAACAGATTCTGAATAATGCTTGTAGAATGAGAATGCGACATAGTAATTTGGCGCATAAATTGGCGCCAAGTGGTGATTATTTTGTAGATTATGTTTATTTATGTCTAATCAGTTTCTAATCGATTTGTACTACCGCAATGCAATGTAAAATTTATTCTTTTCATAGCTATCCGATAAGATGATACGACATTTGTTGATAGAATTAAATCTACTTTCTTTATATTTTATGAAGTTCGCAAGTTCGCAACGCACTTAACATACTTTGAGTTACATTTTTTTCCCAATACAAATCGGAAAATATATTAGTTTTGTCGGGGGCGCTCAACAGTGCCGAAGTACAACAGTACCAAAAAGGAGGGAAAATTTCAGAAAAATTTAAATCGGGCTTATCTAGGATTTTCTCGAGGGGGGGGGGGAGCAGATTTTCAAAAACGAAAATTTTGACGACCCTTTTTTTTAGGTCGACCAAATTCATTTTCCGAGCTCTGCCAAAGCAGTAAAAAGACGCTGTTTTGGCCAAATTTTCTACGCCGCCGGCAAATTTTTGAAAAAACATGTCTAAAAAGCCTTTTTTGGGCACTGGAAAATTTTGACAAAAAATCGCGTTTTTTTTGGCGCGCGCTCCCCCTCAAAAAATAGTATTTTAAAATTGAAGACGCCTTTTTAAAATTTTTATGGTCGGTCGGCCAAAAATAGATTTTTTAAAAAGTACCAAAGGAGGGACCCTTGAGTCGGCAGGGGGTCAAATCCCTGAGAGGGTAGGCATCAGCCCTCACCCTTAATCCGCCCCTGATTTAAATGCTTTTTCTAAAGAGCGGGAAATTACTGACGCTAATTAACAGAAAATACAATTTTGGCGCCAAAATTTCAGTAAACTAAAAAATTATTTTGGCATCAAAATGTCTCAATTGCAAATTTTCTCGCTCAAAATTTTAAAGAGGCACTTAAGATTGTAAACGTTCGCCGTTTAGTTTTTGATTGCCGCACTTATTATGTTGAAAATTGTTCAAATTTTTTTTGGCACTGTTAAACAAAATTTTCATTTTCGGCATTGTTGTACTTCGGAACTGTTGTACTGCCCCGTTATCGGACCAGTTTCGTTCCGACCACTGAAAATTTGGTTGAACTTTATCTTCGGGTGTTTTAGTTTTTTTTTCACACAAAATCAGGTACCACAATTCATTAGTAAGAATAATCGAGTGATTCATCTTAGTAAAAGCCTCTTCAGGTTTGGAGCTTCTCAGAAAAATGTTTGAAAATCAAACACAAGTCCAATTTTTAAGCAACATTAAATTTTTTTTGTTTGGTCAATCAATTTTTGAAACAACCGTATTCGATTATGAATAAATTATTTACTAACGTTGTAAGTTTTTGACTGTCTGATATAATGCAAAAATACTGTCGCAAATTTGAATTAAAAAATGTTTTTCAAGCTTTTATGAGTAATTGGAACTTTCTGTGCAAATTGCACAGCAACCGGTTGCTTTTGTTATGTTGGGTTTTAAGGCAAAGTTGGCTTTATCGGCGAACTGTAAGCAATTTTGCTTCATACATTCATTACACCAGCGGATAAGCCTAGAGACGAAACTTAAAAGGACTGGGGATTGGTCGTAGGCGTCCTAGTTTGAATCCAGCTTTGAGTTAATATATTCGCAAAATGAAAATTTTTCGCCGAAAACTTTAATTGCCTGACAATCTTTTATATGCTTATTACCGTTGATTTAGTTGCCTTGCTTAAACTTTTTTTTCGGTTTTACTTTTGTTTCTGAAAATTCATTGGTTGTGCGTATGATAGAGATCCAAAAATTTTGCTCAAATGGTGTTTTTTGTCCATTCATTTTCTTTTGCCCAAGAAAACTATAAAATGTGTTTTTACCCTTGCGATAGGCAAGGTTATTGCAATCGGGTACTATTTTTTTCCGTAAATAATTTTGGTCACAGGATATGCAATTATAGAAGATTTCAGTTTCACCAAAGTTCACTTTTAACAGCGCTAGTTTGTGGTCTATGTTTCTGTTTTTAGACTTACTGAGTTACTATTTTTTAGGCTTAATTGATTTCGTCCCATTTTTTTTATTTACCGGGTGTTTTTTCATTGATATTTTCAAAATTCAATCAATTGATTTAAATCAATTTTGACGACCGCAACTAATTTTGTTTTTTACACGCTTTTGGATTGAAAGCAATTATTTGAAGTGATTCTTTGCTTGACTTTTTCTCAAAACTTTTCGTTTTTTGAATGTTTTTTTTTCCATTTTTTTGCTAGTGTGTGCAGTTCGCTTAAAACAACTTAACGTCATTAAGTTTTTTGAAAAAACGTCGACAAAGTATCGTACAGCTTTTTCAACTTGCTTTCTTATTGAATCTTAACATTTCCAAATTTCCTTCGTAAGTAGCCGAGAGGTAGCACCGTCGCCTTTGCAATCTAAGGTCAGGGATTCAAATCCCGGCCGGATTTTTTTTTCATTCAAGACTCTATTAAAAATATTCCGGTAAAAGTTGCTTTGTCGGAATATTTTTCTTGTGCTGTAAGCAAGTATCAAGTTAGTTGCAGGTGTTTTTTGTTATAGTCTCAAGTGGGGACCTAAAATTTCTTTAAAGTTTATTTTATTAGGCTTGCGACAAGCAAACGTTATCAATTTGGAATATAGATTTTTTTTTTCGGGTCAAGAACTTGCTTAACAGAATCACTTGAATCCCTAGAATTCCCTCACGTGCAACTTGAAGTTAAACTAACGGTCTATTGCTACTAATGACAGTTCTTTTAAGAAGAAATGTCTTATATTTTTTAAGACAAAATTTTCCGTTACAAAAAAATTTTCAGGCTATCATTAGTCTGATTATGTTTCGTCGGCTTAGTTTTTGGATCACAAACTTTTCGTTTTTTACAAAATAATTCCAGAAAAACATATAATAATTTGGCATGCATGAAACTCAAACTTTTCTAGCTTTCCAGGCACACATGATTTTCGAGAAAAAAAAACTACGCCTGATATGATAAATGCCGTGTTCGAATCTGCCCTGACATTTTTTTAAAAAAGGGAAATAGTCCGTTCCAAAAAATTGTCGATCTGTTGCATACCTGCTTATGTTTGGTCGGCTAGGCAGTCTAGTTACGGTTTTTTGCTGGGCTGTAAGTAATTTTATTTTAACTGAAAGAGTTAAGATGTGTTACTGTAATTTGTAGACCTACTAAGTTTGTAGTATTTTTTTCGTTGCTTTGCTTGGCTTCGATTGTTTCGGCTGATATTTTATCGAGTTAGTGACCTAGCTAAACATTTTTTAAAAGGAAAAATAGACTTTGACGCTTTTGTGTTTCCGGAGCAGGGGATCGTAAAAATTTAGATTTTCAGAAAATTCAAAATTTCTAATTAATTTTTGGGGGCTTAGTTGCCAATCAATTGTTGTGTCTGAATGCTCATAAACGCCAGTAATTGTGTTCTAGACGTGTTTTTGTCAAATTGATCAAGTTTCTAAAAATTTGTAGTAACGGTTCGAAATAATATATATTTTTTCGACTAAGTAGCCTTTGTTTCATTTTCTGTCTACTAGCTTGCAAGGCTATGCATGTGTGATATCGCAAGGGTGCGAAGCTCCGCTTCGTTTCTGTGTAAAAACCATTTTTTGGCTCAACTGATGTCTGCTCAAAGATAGTCGGTTTTGTTTCATAGGTCCGTAGATTTAGTTCCGCTGCTAGTTTAAAATTCGAACGACTTGCTTGGCAATCTTGCTGCAAGTTCTTGTTTGATAAAAACAGATAGTATGTTAACAAATGATAAAACAGATGAAAACAAAGGTACGGACTTAGTTTTTTTGATACTTTTGGGATTTTTTTTTTTTCATTTTTTGCAAAAGTTTCAGCTTTTCTCAAAAACGTTTCAACCGATTTGCAAAGAAACTGGTTATCAATAGATTGACCGCCTATCTACCTACATACTATTCATTCTCTATTTTTACTCACGAGCACAAAAAAGTTTCTTATGAGTGGGTGTTTTCAAAAGGGACTTTTGAAATTTAATGAAAATAATATTTTGGACTCAATGAATGCCTGCTCAAGTATCATAGTTCTTTTGCAGGAACTTCAAATTTCCTTCGTAATTGGTCTAGCGGTGAAACCGTCGTCCTTGCGATCTAATGTCAAGGCTTCAAATCCCTGCCCTTATTTTGATTTTTTTTTCAAAATAGATGCTATTGAAAAAAATTTCAGAAAAAAATGATTTGTCGGACTTTTGTTTATCTGCTCAAGTTTTGTGTGCTTAGTTGCCACATCACGGATTTTTTTTGTGAACAAGTATCATGGTAGTTGCAAGTGTTGATAGTTGTAGTTTTAAATAACTAAAGTCCCATTTTCTGTTAGTTATTTTGCTATATGCCATGTTTTTGTTGTATCGAGAGTGGTGCGAAGCGCGGCTTCACCCCTTTGTTAAAAACTGTTCAGTTTTAGACCAATTTACTAATTCGAATTTCAGAAAAAAATAAATTTAGATCTGGAGAAAAACTTGGCCTAGTTGAGTTGAGTTCCTTTTATACTAGTGCATTACGCGCTCTACGACTCTTGAAATCCTTTGAAGAAACGTTCGTTTTTTAATTACTCTTTTGAAAAATGGGTAAAAGCTGGTTAATGTGATTCTATAGTTTAGAGCTATTCATTGGTTTCTCCTCTGAGGAGGATGTTTATGTTCCTTTCTTTGTCTTCTCCGAGGATCGTCACTTCCGCTCCAGGAACTGTCAGATTCCTGGTTGTATGGATCCTCCTGTCTGAATGAATCATAGTCCAGCACTTCGTAGTTTTCCCCCGCCGAAGCATCTTTGACGTTAGATCTGGAATCTTGGCTGGATATTGTGGAAACTTTGGATCTGGATTGATCTTGCGACTGGGATTCCAAATCGTATAAATCTCCTCCAACGTAACCTAGTTCTGAAATGTCAACAATAGTAAATTTTGTATAATTTGAGAAAACTGGATCAATAGGTAAATTTTTTATTTCGCTGGGAAACCTGATAACTAAATTCCACTTTCGAAACTAGAAATCGATCACGTTTTTCGTGAATTTTACACTTTTGCTGTTCGATGGTGGATGTCGCCTTCTTTTTAACAAAGGAAAAGAACTGCGAACTTGAAAAGAAATCAAAAGTCGAACCGCGGAAAACTGAATTTGAGGCTGAACAATTTTAAGAATTTTCTTGAGAAAAAATCATCGCGACCTAAATAAGAGTCTGAACTACGTTCATGAATTATGATAATTGATTGGAGTAGATGTGCACAATTTTGCACGTTGCAGTTCAGGACGCGACTTAACTAACCTGATGATTCGGTTGTTCCGACGAAGTCCACGGGTGCGCCATAGAAGTCGTTATAAATGTAGGAGGCCTCTGTCCCGGTCTTGCTCGATGCAGTGCGATGCGTCTCTTTATCTCCGCCTGCTGTGCCCGCCCCTCCACTTTTCCTCTGCTCCTGTTCCGTCTTGAGTTTGAGGGAGTGACTGGCGTCGTAGTCTGGTGGTGTGACGTCATCTAGCACTTCTTGCATGTGGGACTCCATGTGGTTCGGCATTTGACTGTAGTCGTCACTGTACAGAGTCAAACTGCGGAAGTCACTGAAAAAGAACAGCCGATATTGTTCTTGAAGTGGTAAGAAAGCTCCAGAATGTTCTAGAATATTTTTTTAATACGGAAACTTCGAGAAAATTATTGAAAGTTTTTTGAATTTTTATAAATTTTTTGAGCGATTTTTTTTGTTCGTTTTTCAAAGTTCTTTTCCTATTTTACTTTGAATGTCGAATATGCCTTTTTTTTTGTTCAGATTTTATCACACCACGCAGAAAAAACGACACTCATTTGAAAAAACTTTTTGGTTTTCTTTCTAAGACTATGGTCGGAACATTCTATGCTTCTTGCACAGTAACCGGTTTTCCTTGTTCTTTTTTAACATCAGTTTATATCACATAAAATTGCAAAAAAATTTGATCTCTTTTTAAATTCGTTGATTTTCTCTTACTTTGATGCTCGTTTGAAAGCCCTCTTTTTCCTCTGCGCCTCTATGGGTTGTCTTCCCAGAACATTAGAGGGCAAGAGACCGTCATAGGTGCCCTCAAGGATCTTCTTCTCGTACTTGGTGGGGGCCCAGCCGTAGCCCGATATAAACTCCTTCTGAAGATTGTTGGACTGCACGAATTGGCTGCAGCCTAAAAAAACAAAAAAAAAATCGATTGCATCCAGTTCTTAAGTAGGGCCTCAACATCGTCTATGTACGCTTTCCGGTTCGCCGTGATGGGCTGTACAGGTAGTATGTTGGTCCTTTCCCTCGTGGGTAAATTCTTATAGACCTAGAGATTGTGGATTGCTTAGTTGTTGCGGCTTCAGTTTAATCAGATCAAATATCTACCAGGTTGCTGCTGGTCCATGACTACGAAAAATGTCGTTGTACGCTTTCCAATTATCCTGAAAATTGACATAAGTGTTGATTGCGCAGTTCCAAACATACTTGGAAGCATTAAGCATCGTTGTAAGGTGTTCACTTTAAAAACGTCACACCGATGGTTTGATTCATCTATTCACTGCCACGGCAATGATAGAGTGTGAGGCCGCGCTCTCTCTTTTGATCTCTAGCTTCAAGTCTATCACAGCCTGACCAATTTTAGCTGCAATAGTGTACCACGTGAAAAAAATCTAGACACAAAAAAACGGCCTTGTGTCGCAAAAAAGAGCCTAGCGCAGCAAAATAAAGTAGTATGGAATGTGGGAAAAAATGAAATAAATGAACTATCCTTATACAGTGGTTGACAAGTCTTCAAACCCAGCGCTGTGAAACCACCGTTTACAGTATAAAATTGGTTACAGTATAAAATTGGGACTTATTTGAGGAGGGTGAGGGGGGGGGGGGGGGGGGTGGAATTCAAATATTTTTCAAGTTTCTTCTGGAACCTTTTTCCATGTAACACTAACCCTCTTCTAGATCCCTCTCGCCCTGTACCATTATCAGTCTGTTCTGTCTCGTTCTCGCCTCGAAACTCTTCTTGGCCCGCGACATCTCCGCATGGGACACGGACTTCTTCACACCCCCTCCCCCTCCACCTCCGCCACCTCTGTTGGCCGCCACCCACGAGTGGTAGTCGTCTCGCATACTCTTCATAGTCGGAACCATCGCTTCCTATTAAAACAGGCCTCGGAAGAGATCAGAAAATTGTTTGCAGACTACAGATGAAGAGGTTGTCAACTTTTTTATTGCATTTTTTTTAAGCTTATCAGAACAAATCAGATCAGATAAAAACTGACTAACTTTTGAAAACTATTTTAAGACTCCTAAAATATTTTAAAATCGTTTTAAAAACTCTAATAAATAACCCACCCTCCTGTGTTGTACGATCCAGTCATGTTCCACAGCATCTACATAGTCACGTGGTCTGTACTCTGGTTCCCACTCCAGAACGTCCCTGAGGAATCGCTTCATCTCGTGTGAGAACGGGGCACACATGCTGTCCGGGATGACCAGGCGGTGTCTGCCGTCCTCCATGGCCTCGTAGGAGGGGTACTTGCTGCCTCTACTCAGCAGGTGGTAGATTATGGCCCCAGCTATCCAAATCTCACCTTCAAGTAACCAAAGCAAATTTTCAGATTAAAAAATTTAGTTGAGTTACGAAATAGCAAATAACGAAATTTGGCCGCAGGTGATTATTCACCTCGGCTAAAAAGGTTAGTATAAGACTTTTAAATTTTGGTTTTTGAGGCCCTTACTTAATTCTAGTCGATGGAAATGTTTGAAAACATAAAACTCAACTGTAATTTATAACTTCATAGCTTTTTGGAGTTTTAGCCTCCGACAAAGCCTAGAAATGCTTCTCAAAAAACAATGTGACGCGATGTTATTACCATGTGTCTAGAAAAAAAAACAGCCAGTGGCGGTGACTGAATTGAAATTGTCGCTAATTTTGTGCTTCGTTTACCTGTGACGAGTGTGTCCTCCTCGATGCAGTGGTCTCCCGAAGCCTGTCTCTCTATCTCGGGGGGACTCAACATGGGCGCCACCATGTCCCGCTTGCACCGCACAAAGCCAGTGTCGCCTAAATTAAACAATGTATAGTCATATACTAGAAACAAATTGAATTCAAGCATAATCAGTAGCCTCATAACAAATTAAGCATCAAAATATTTGCAGTAAATTGAAGGTTCATATAAAGTTACCCGCATTGGCAAAACTAAGATTGCAATCGATACCAACTCCGCTTACCATCAATCACAGGCATTCGCCCTCACGACGCTGTCCATAACATCTCACCGGCATTTCAAATAAACACTTCTGCGAAAATAACAAAAGCAGATGGCGAATTGAAAGATAAACTGATTTGATTTTTAACGATTTTTTCATTTTTTTACAGTTTCAAAAAAAAGTTCACTGAGTACCACCACTAGCAGCAGAAGTTTTTGTGACCATAAAATCCACCACATCATAATTTAGAAAAAAAAACATTAATTGGTTCATAAGAGAAGTTTAAAATAGATGTTTTAAAGTTACAGATATGTTTTGTTATTCTGATCTTAGTGGCAGTTCATGCTTCTCGCTAAATCATCATGGAGTCAATTTCTCGCTAAATCAACATGGAGTCAATTTATACTATCAATAGCAAGTAGTTCATATTGGTGAACAAGAATTTTTTATTGTTATCAACTTAGTTCTATTTTGAACATCTCTCAATTGGACTGTTGAACTGTCATCCTTTACCACTGCCTTTGTACGCGGTATAGAACTCTATCTACGTTAGCTCTAAAGTAGATAAGGTATGTTGCTGTTTCATTTTCATGGTTCTTAAGCTCGAACAGTTTTTTCAAAGTTCGTCATATTCCAAATTTTTGCCATTTTTGGTGCAATTTGAAAACATTATCGAAAGTTGCATGTTCCGTAATTTTAAAATTGCATGAAGGCAAATATAAATTTTTTTTATATGTCTGAGATTTTGAATTGACTCATGGTTCTCTACCTTGTTTATTGTTCAAAAAATCATCGACATTTTTCCTCTGAGTTTTTCAATTTTTTGCCCATTTTTAAAATGATTTGTAAAAGTTTGACAGGCTAGAAGGGCTAAAAAAAATAAAAGTTTGAAGGATCTTCTAATTGGAACATAAACTTTTTCTCGGGTTAACAACTTGCTAAATAGAATCACTTGAATAACTTTTTATCTTGGTGCATAATGAATTCAAATTTATAAGCGTCTCCGGCATACTTAGCCTGGAGGTAACAAATATGCCTGCGACGGCAAAGATCCTGGGTTCAAAGCTGACCAGGACCTGTTTTTTTTTCAAACGGTAAAAATTCCGTTTCACAAAATTGTCGGAATATAACTTGTTTGCCTGCGTTTTGTAGGCCTAGTAGCCACACCTTAGAGTTTTTTTGCTGCATGCAGTTTTTTGTAGTTGATTGTAATGTTTTCATTTACTCCTGCTATTTGAAATTCTATTTCTCTTGACTTCGTAATTTTTCTTTTTTAATTATTTTTCCGCTCAAAAAATTTTTCAGCCTGAATAAATTCAGACTATATTTTATTGGCTTACTAACCTAATTTTGAGTCGTTCGAGGGAACAATATTTTCCAATATTTCCTCCGGATCGCTTAAAGCGTTACAAATATCAGAATAGAATGTATAATTCAAAATTTTTCATGATAACAATTTTATTTTGGCTCGATAATTATTCGTGAATTTTCATTAAACGCTATTGAAAGTTTCTGGACGTGTTTTACGCAAATAAACCATCATTCCAGACAACACTCTGAAGTTTTTTTTAACTTGTGGCTTCTCCGAAAAAGTTTGCGTTTTCTTTGGACTTTGTGGCTCTCCTTTCCTTTCCGGTCTGCTAGCTTGCTACGTTATTTTTAAATGGAATCGCATTTGATGCAAAGCTCCGTTTGCCTCTCTCTGTAAAATGTCAGCGATCAATTATATATTTAAAATTCGTCGATTTTCAAAAAAAAAATTATGGTTGACAGTTTTTTGAAAAAATAAACTGAATTTGAAAAAACTGGATGAAAGGGTGAAATTTTTATTGAACTGGGAAATCTGTAAATTAAATTTCACTTTTGAAAATAGAAGTCGATCACGTTTTTTTTCGCTGTTCGATTGTCGAGTTTGCCTTTCTTTTAACAAAGGAATTGAAGTGAACTTAAAAAGAAATCCAAAGTCAGAGTGCAAAAAAAAACAACTTGAGCGTCAACAAATTTTAAGACTTTTCCTGAAACCAACAACACGATCTATAAAAAATCACTATGCTCACTACCCAGGATCGGAAATAAGTAGCCTATTTTATTTTAAGAGAAGATTTTTCGGACAAAATAAAACTGTTTCGTTTTTGACTGCCAAATGTAGTTTATAAATAACATTTCTTTTTAAAGTGCTCTTTATGATGTATTTTGTTTCAAAATGATTCTAAAAGCACTAAGCAGCATTAAAGTGAACCATCAAGCTTAGCAGACCTTTTTTTAATAAGAGGAGTATTTATACTTTTGTTGTTGATGTATGTGCAGCCTGTGAAGTCGCAGATGGTGACCTGTCCCTTGTCGTTCATGAAGAGAGTGTCGTCTGGTCGCATCCTCTCGAAGTAGATGCCCTGGTCGGAGGCCCTGCTCATACTGCGTAGTATCTGGGTGAACCACGTGGCCAGATTGGACTCCACCTGTTTGGGGGTGTTGCCCAATCCAGCAGACTGACCACGTGACAAGGCGTGGTCATAGAGAGACATCTGAAAGATATATTTGGTGTCTCCTCGAAGGTTTGTGAAGAATAACTCAAATCATATAGAACTAGATAGGACAACTTTAAACACCATTACTCTTAATTCTATTTTCGTTTAAGATTACAAGTGAAGCTGTTGCGAAAAAAATGGATCCAGGTTTCAGTTGGTTTAGATGATGAAGCAATTTCGGGGATCGTAAACTTTTGACAAAAATACCCTAAAATATGCAGCTTTTAATTTTTTTTCATCTCGAGCACAAAAATTATTGCACGATTAAGCAATTTAAGTCTTGTTTTATTTGAAAACTTATCATACCCCGTGTCTGTCGGTGAGTAGCATCAGAAGGTTCCCATCGTCAATCACATCATGCACCTGGGGGGACCCTTTGACATGCTTGAACAACTTCTGCTGGTACATGTCCCTTACCCTCTCCGAGTGCTCCTTCGGCCACCGAGATATATCCGGATACACTTTGATGAACTTGCCTGACATGGCGATGTAATGCAATAGGCGACAAGTTTATCCTATAACTAATCATATGCTTTGCCAATACAATTATATTAATTACATTAACGTTGATGTTCCAAGCATGTTTTGAAATGACTGGAAGAAAATATTAAACAGGTTAGTTTTTTCGCTCAATTTCATGTACCTCAAAAAGCTAATCGGGGGTCAATTATGGTATCATAATGAAGACCGTTTGGCCGTGAAACGGTTTCCAAAAAAATCTGGGTTGAGAAAATTAGGTTTTTCAGTTCATTAGGAGGATTAAACAAATTGAACAAGAGACTGACCTCCTTATTTAATTCGACAATTCATTTTTTATTTGTTTTAGCCCATGCATATAGCTTCTATCCTATCTCCATTACCTACTTCCTTACAAAGATAGACAAATTTTTCAGACAAAAATTTTGAAACAAGTCAACAAACAATTTTTTCAGATATTACGCTTGCGATAGCAAGCGTAATCAAATTGGAAAACAGTCTTTTTTGGGTTAGCAGCTAAGCTAGTTCAGCAAATTCACTGAATCATTTGGTCAGCTTATTTTATTAGAATATCAAGTTCGTGGTATCAAGTTGGCCCGTTCAGCATGGGGAGGTTGCGTTCATTCTTGGGGCAAAATAACTCAGGATTTTTTTGGAGCCGGAACTTTATACGCGTGAAAACTGTTCTGATTTCAAATAGAAACAGAAACATGAATTATTTTATTGCATTCACAAAATGTGACGCCGCGCCATCACAAAAGAAATAAGTTTTTATTCCCTTGCAAAAGGAAGGGAAATGCTATTGGAATAATTCGTATAACGTTTTAAGCATTGA